TAATAATGAATAAGAGGACCTAATTGAGTCAAACTAGAAGAGTCAAGCATGCTTCACTTGGTACCAAGACACTCAACTACGTACTTATGATTAAAAACAAGTTCTTGGAAACAAATAGCTATAGTTAGTGACCTTTAGACTCTTGTGTTGACTTAAGAAATCATCGAGTGGTTTAGTCGAACCATTAGTAATTTTCAATCTTGAATATGATTGTTGTGGGCCCTCGGCTCTATCCTCTTTAACAATCCAGGTGTGTGAGAGGTGAGATTTTTTGTTGCAAGTCCAAGTACCCGTGTGAAGGGTGTAAAACTTGCCCCGAATGTGTTTCTACGCGATATTTTAAGTTTTGCTTGGCTTGAGAAGTGCTTGTAGTCTCTCCTTGACCCGCTTGAAATTTCCCATGGCCCACCAATGTTGCCATCTCTAGCAACCATTTGAGCCTAAGACCTATCTTATTTGATAACCACGTTACAAGCCTTTGCCCGTTTTGTAGTGACTCTTTCTTGGAACCTGAGCTTTCCTTAACGCTCTTGAGAAATAATTGGCTAAAACATAAGTTTGGGGGAGAGACGAGGAGTTTGAAAGTGGTATCAAGGCACAAAAAGAGAAAAGAAATTAAGAAAAGGAAAGGCAAAGAAAAAGAAAGAAAGAACAAAAGAAAAATGCAAAAAGAAAGTGAATAAGTTGAGGAGTTGAAGAGATTCAAAGAAAAGCAATTATGTGACTTAAAAGACAGATGTGGCCGCTGTGAGGCGAGGGAGCAACTTGACTGGTCTTACAGTGCACTCATTCCCATTACGAGTATGAAATGACGCCCCAGCTTGACTCGAGACCAAGAATCCTTACAACTCGTACCAATAGCGGCACTGAGCGGCCAGAGATTGATTGAAAAGGCAGGCCCAGCCGGCCCTCTCTCCCCCTTAACCGCCTATCTACTCATGTTCGTAGCTCGATCGGAGGTCAAGACTGTGGTCCGGTGGAAAAACAGAAGTCTTCCATGTCAAGTGATACGTGAATTTCTTAGTAGTGCTTTGCCACTACCCTAGCTGGCGGAAATAGCTTAATGGTAGAGCATAGCCTTGCCAAGGCTGAGGTTGAGGGTTCAAGTCCCTCCTTCCGCTCCTGGCTTCGTTGTTTAGTGGTAACAAGTTCCGTGCATAATCCACTTTAGATATGGGGCAAGCAGCAAGCAGCCCCTTGTATAGGGTGGAAAACCTATCTGACTAATAAGAGGAAAGGGGCAAGCCAAAACTGACTCCTAACAAGTTGCTGGCTTTCATCAACCGTTGCGCGCTAGCCTTTTCCCAACCTAGTAAAAGGGCTGCTAGTTGCAGCACGCAGTGTACTAGTGAATAGGAAAAGCGAATTGAGATTACTAATGACGGATGGAGGTTGAGGGTAGAACATGTTCGGTGCCTCGCCCTTGTCTCCTTCATCGTAGACTGAAAATGATGGTAATCCTATCGATAAAGAAGAGGTATAAGCATCTCCTCTCAATCCAATCCATCTTCCCTGGCCTCCCCAACACACTCTTGATACGGAAGCTCCCGCCATAGAGAAGAGATCGAAAGTTTGGGTCCCCTCGATCACCCTCCCTTGAACCTGAAGTGGTCGAGAGAGATGAACCCGCACCATAATTTTTCGAATCGAAACTCCCAACTAGATATGGAATTCCAGGGAGGGAATGGCCTATCAACCAATGATTGATAGGCCATTCCCTCCCTATCCGTCTCTTGATCCCTCATTCCACTAATCCGTTGTTACTGATTCATTCAAGGCATAGACTCTCCATTTCTCTGTCTTATTAGCGCAGGTGTTCGTCAATGATGAAAGCTGCTGAACTTCAGAATCGAGTGGAGAAAGAGGGCTAGGCCCCCGGAGGGCTTTCAGGGACTAGGGAAAACGGGTGGATTATAGAGCTAGGGTAGGGGCAAATCGAAGGCCCATCGGGATTGGGCATAGACGAGGTCAACTGGGCCAGCATTGATGAAAAAAGAAAAACTTCCCCCATCGCATCATTAATCGGTGTAGGATTCAAGATCAGGTCCAGGATTCGAGTCAAATCGACATTCCCTCTCATCTCAGGGTGAGGCAAGGAATTGTTTCAAATGTTAGTTGTTCAATATCTCGGCTGCTCAAGAAGTTTGACTAGTTACTCCTCCGACCCGAAGTGGCTTCTAGGGGAAGGGCAGAGCCTCACCTTGCAGTAGGAAGGTGTTCGTTGTTGGGACGGGTTCAAACTGGACTGAAGGGAGGAGGAAAAAAGAGTCCTCTCTTCCTGGTCCTATCGAACTAGACACTGAATACCTGGGGATTCATCACTAGCTAGGGCTTTCGAATCAAAGCATGGGCATCTTCTATTAAGAGGGAGCAATAGATCGTCAATTGAAGAGCCAGGTCAATAAACTTCTATTGGGACTTCTATTGATTATTAATTCGACTCTAGGGACTCCTAGCAGCAAACTAGTCTAAAAATAGGGGGCCCATAGAGAGGCAGGAGATGTAGGAGCCGCCAACCGGTTCGACCAACAAATGATAGCGCAGAGAGATGGGCTCATTCGACTAATCAGTGATCCCTGGGCCTACCTAACACAGATGTCCCTGAAATAAGGGATTGGTTGATCGGAAAGCTCAGGAAGGAGTAGGACATTCCATACAAATCTTTCTGATCCGCTAGCTGGTGGTCCTCTCCTTAGAGTCAAGTGGCTTTCAGCTCCTCTCAAATCCCATTTTTTCATCGACAGGTAGGGTGAATTCTAAGGTTCCTTATTCCGGTTGTAAAGCGGAAGAAGAGGGAGAATGGGCACAGCATGGAGAAAACAAAGAAGGAGAAAATGAATATCATGACCAAGAAAGAGTGATGTTAAGTCTCTCTAGTTCCCCTAAGAAAAAAGAAAATGCCTCAAAGAGTCGGCAAAACATGAGCCAAAAAGAGAAAATGGAGTGCTTAAGGAAAGATGAACCCGTTCTATTTCAACATTTCCTAGCTTAGTCCAAAAGCCTTCATTACATTCCGAAACAGCCCTACGTGATTTCAAGCCGAGTGAACTTACATTAGTGGTGATTAACATGAGGGGCAAACATATGGTACTTAAAGCCGCACTTGTGATTTTTGAGAGAGATGAGCGAACTTTTCACAAATCCTTGAATTGAATGCTACATTCTTAATTGAGATATGCTAACGGAGAGTAGAGGAGGGGGAGTTTGGGATCCACAATGACCTACATGAAAGAGCGAGCTTCCTCGATGAATAAAGTCAACTCTTGGTGCTCAAGTGTCACATTAGAACTATTGGTGCTTAAAATTCAAATCATTACCTTGTTGATAATTCATAAGTGTGGGTAATTATTGGTCCCAATTGATGTGTCTTTGATACACCTTAGATTAGTTGGAATAGCTCTTAACTTGTGGAGGTAGGAATTACCTTATTTGCTTGAGGACAAGCAAAAGCTTAAGTTTGGGGGAGTTGATAAGTGGGCATTTTGACTACTTATTAGCGCCTTTTTTACTTTCGTTTTAGTCCAAAAGTGTTTAATTATATTTCCGAAAACTGATGAAATATGCTTAATTGCAGGAGTATTGAAAAATGAGCCACAAAGATGAAATCCAACTCAAGAATGAGTGATCTGAACTCAAGGACAAAAATAGGCACAAAAGCTTAAATGCGGACCACAGAATTCCATCTGCTGCCGTAGATTGTGAAGGAAATCCATCAGAGACCAAGTGCAATGTGCGGCCGCAGAAGCTACCCAAGAGCAGAAGCTCAGAGAGTGTGCATATGAAGTTCAAAGGAAGTGCAGACCGCACATTTATTGTGCGGCCGTAGAAGTCAGCCACGCGGCCGAACTCAGAATTATGCGGTCCGCAGAAGGGCCCTGTGCTGCCGCACCAGGATTTGTGCGGACCGTAGAACATAAGAGATGCATCCGCATTCCAGAATAGTGCGGTCGCAGATTCCACTCCTATCAAGTCTGAAGAAAAGTGCGGACCGCACATGGAATTGTGCGGCCGCAGAACCTCCGAAAGGGCATTTTTGTCTGAAATTTCTAGCTTTGTATAAATAGACTAGTTTCATGAAATTAGGCCAAGTTTTGAATATTGAAACTCCCATAGCCGTTTTTCCTTACTACTTTAGGCAACTTTAGCTTACTTTGGTGATTTAACATTGGATTTTTATCTTTTAATCTTTTAATATGAGTTTTATCATCTGTTCTACATTGTTTTCTTCTATACCCATTATGAGTAGCTAGATTTTTAACTAGGGTTGTGACCCAACCCTAGTGTGTAAACCTAGTGTTTAATTTATGGCTTGTTTATGGCTGGGTGTTTATTATTTAGCTTTTTTCTTGCTTTTTATTGTAAAATTAATGGTTGCAAACATTAGTTCATGCCTATTTGACTTGGTCTCTACTTGAGAAAGAAAGACTTAGTGTAGAAAACTTGGCTAACAAGAATTTGGGATGAAATCAAGAGATTGATAGTCCCAATTAAAGGGTTGAACCTAGAGATAGTAAAACCCGACTGAGCATGTTATCAACTGTTTTGTTCAATACCCATTTGGATTTGAAAAGCCAAATTGGGCAAAATCACTCTCTTACCGAGAGGTATTGAGTGGGTACTTGAGTGTTGATAGCTATAATACACCCCGACCAACAAAATAAGCTTTAAAGTTTACAACCCGTTAGGCAAACACCTAGGTAAAGGCCATAGCCCTAGGCCTTTTACATCATTTGAAAACAAAAACAAAAACACAATCATTTAGTTTCAATTAATTGTATTGCAATCTTAGTTTAATTTAGACCTAGAAACAACCATATTTGTCGACGTGCAATCTAAGATAGTTCAAACTCATTCACCACAATATATACTCCTAAATCCCATTCATATAGCTCCCAGTGGAATTCGACCCCGACTCTTAGTTGGGTATTACTATTGCATCGACCGTTTTATAACCTCGAATAGAGGTGTTTGGACGAGATCAGTCACAAAGAGGCGTTCTAATGCACCAAAGGAAGTACACTCTAGAGCTGATTTCTGAGCTTGGACTGGGAGCTCCAAAACCTGCAGCAACACACATTGAAGCCAACATCAAACTGACCACTAAGGAGTATGATGAACATACTAGCAGCTCTAATGCAACTGATGATGAAGTGTTAACAGACATCAGCCAAAGATTATTGGGGAAACTACTCTACTTAACTGTCACAAGGCCAGACATAGCATATAGTGTTCAGACACTAAGCCAGTTTATGCAAAATCTGAAAAGATCACATTTGGAAGTTGCTCAAAGAGTGGTTAGATATGTGAAGAACCAAACAGGTCAAGGCATACCTTTGTCTAGCAAACAGAGAAACACTATCACTACATATTGTGGTGCAGACTGGGCAACCTGCCCTATCACTAAGAAGTCAGTAACAGGCTTCTTCATTAAGTATGGTGATTCCCTGATATCCTGGAAGTCAAAGAAACAAAGCACCATTTCTAAGAACTCTGCAGAATCTGAGTACAGAAGCATTGCATCAACTGTAGCTGAATTGGTGTGGATACTTGGTCTGTTCAAAGACATTGGTATAGAAGTTGGCCTCCCCGTGAACATCTACACTAACAGTAAAGCAGCAATTCAAATAGCTGCCAACCCAGTGTTTTACGAACGAACCAAACACATTGAAATAGACTTTTATAAGGGAGAAGATACAGAATGGTCTGGTACAAACAGAATATGTAGCTGCAAAGGAGCAGATAGCAGACATTCTAAACAAAGGTCTACCACGAGTGCAACACGAGTATTTGTTGTCCAAGCTAGGTGTACTTGATGTCTTTCTACCACATAGTTTGAGGGGGAGTGTTGAGACAAAAGATGTAACTTGAATACAGGGGTAGTTTAGTCTATTTATGTGTTAGCAGATTAGTGTATTAGTTAGTTAATTATACATGTAATTGGTTAGTGAGGTGGTTAGAGTAGTTATTAAAGCCTTATATATACATAGCTTGTACAAATAATGAATACAGAGCATTCATTTCTCACTATTGTTACATTCATCTGCATGCTCCTCTTCTCTTCTCTCCTCTCCCTCGTTAATTAGGGTTTTCATCTCTTCTCAAACCTCCATTTCAAACACTAATTAAATATGCATTTGGATAATATTTAAGTAGAAATTAAAAGAGAAAATAATTGAAGATGAAATTGAAAGAAAGTTTGTGGAAGTTAAAATTGTATTTCAGCACGTCATTTGAAAGTTAAAAATAGAGAGCACAAGTCGAGGAGTTGAAAAACTTCACCAGAAATGGACCTTCAAAATTCCTCTTCCAACTCCTACCATTGAATGGTTAGTAGTTCAACCAAATGTAGCCAGGCTGTTTTGCAGATCAACCCTTTTTTCTAAAAAGTTCCGAATAAAATACTCCCTAACAAAGCAGCTATGTACTCGAGGTTTGACCTTATGTTAGTTAAGGATGAAGGTAACCCTCATATCCCTAGAGATACTTTAGAGTAGGCGGCCTACATCACATTATATCCCTAGAGATTCTTTAGGGTAGGCAGCCTACACGTCATCCCTTTAGGCCAGACCCTGCGTGAACGCGGAATGCTTCGTGCGCCGAACTGGCCTTATTCTTTTGGATGATGAAGCGAAGCCAAGGTAACATTAGCTTAGCCACCACATTTTGAGTACATGAATTGGCAACATACAGAAATTGTTGGAACATCTGTAACTTCTTTTTTTACCTGAAGTTTTCGTTCATTTACCACTCTCCGTCCATAATAGCTCTCAATTTTCTCCTGTTAGTCTGCTTTTGTTTTTATCTTCTCCTGCTTCTATACCGTGTGTTAAAAAAAGTTCAGATTATCTATGCATTACAGCATTAAACTGTGCGTGAATAAAAAACACAGCTAACAGATCATCAATCAATCATGTTAAACCATGGAGTACAGTACACATTTAGGTCACAGGGCATGACAGTGCAGCCACATCAGTGTTCTCTACTACACTACAACAAAAACAACAAACCCAGTATAATTTCACAGGTGGGGTCTGGGGAGGGTAGTGTGTACGCAGACCTTACCTCTACCTGAACAGATAGAGAGGTTTGCGATAGACCCTTGGCTCAAAAAAAGGTGGCAAGGAAGAAAAGGGAAGAAGAAGAAAGAGGGGGAAGAGGGAGACAAAAGACAATAAGGAAAAAGGGGAGAAAAAATAGTATCAAATAGTAACAATCATGGAGCAACAATTTCCAGTAAAAGGGGAGAAAAAGTAGCGTTCTCTACTACACTAAGAAAAAAACAAAATAGAAGCATGTTTCCTTTATAGTCCCTTGGCCTTGCTACACAGAATATATCATACAACCCGAGCGTGAATCACATTTCCAGGAAGTCAAGCTGATGATATCCTTTATGACTAGCAAATACCTAAAACTACAACCCCACAAGTAGCACAGAGGAAATTAAGAGAATGAGCTATCAAAATTTGTATACCATAACGCTGTAATTTAATGTGAAACATGACACATCATATATTACATATAAAAACAAGCATGTGCCTTGCATGGCCGTATGTACATGGTTCACATATAATCCACCAAGCTTCTGTTAAATCAGAAGATTCATTTTAAAGCATCCATACAATCTCAGAACCGAGGAGACAAGATGGTGAGTTTACACTAGCGACAATTATCTAAAACCAAGGAGGAGAAATTTCATCACTGGCAGAAATTTTTAAACCACAACTACCTAGCTAGAAAGATATGTGGGGAGAATGCAGTTTTTCAAAGTTAATAAACTTACAACAATCTGCAGAATAGTTAACAGAGAGATAGTTGGGAATTCTAGCTTCTCTGCAACTCAACTTGTTCTTTTTGCAAGAACAGGCACCATAGACTGTAATTCAAGCAACAGACGTCTAGGAGAAAGTCATTCCTTCTACTGATAAGTAATTTAGGAGTAATCATATCCAAGATGCTTTCTTAAAATTTAGAGTGTGTGCTTCGGATATGTATTTTGGCAAACAGAAAAATAACATGCATAAACGCATATGGAACGGAAAGAATAGCAACTTCTTCTCAAATGACAAACTGACAACTGATATTTTGCATACTGATAAAAACAGGATATTTTCACCAATGGCAACCAGACGTTCCACAAGTAGAACACAAAAAGATTGTTTATATAGTTATGCGGTGCTATATTTATTAATAGTCTATAACTCAATTGATCCTCTAAAACAAATGTGTGGTGCTACGTAATATGGAATATGAAAAGCACCCAAACCAAATACGAGAGCAACTGCCTTCAGTGCAGGCTCTATCCTTTTTTCCCTCTTATTCTCCTATTCACCATCACAGAAAATAAATCCACTGAGAAAACACATATCATTCACAAAGATCAGACATGAAGTTATGGCATGTTAAAAATGGTTGAATCCTTTTATTCTTCTGATAACAACGATTTCTAGACCACCTTGCGCACACATCTACTATTCTATCTAATACCTGCATCCTCACACTAACACAGGTACCAGCAACTCTGTCCAGATGGGAAAAAATTGCATAATTCTTTTTACCTCTGTGATTCCAACTCCTGTTTCTCGTGGTGTTTATTGGGTCACACCCTTGGTCTAAAAGTTTGAATGATATACATTAGCGTAATCAATTAGACCAACATTCATCTATGGAGCATAACTTTTCCTACTGAACTTGCTTGCCCATACGGATAAACAGAGACCTCGGCCTAGGATACACAAATAAACTTCAGCTAGCTAATCAAAACAGCAGGACATGCAAAGGCAAGTAATCCAAATTGACTGTAACTTTAAGTCAAGAGTCTAAGCAGAAATCACCTGCTGATGTTCATATATGAATCCGTCTAGAATATAACTAGACTTTAGCAATTATTCTTTTATTTCATTGCCTAATTAATCTTCTTCATCTTATCTTCATATAATTCAAAATAAAGTAATGTATACCAAAGTTAATAGCTTCCACCTTCCTCGAAAAAGTCATTTGCTGCTTAAAACTCTGTATCGGAACCACCATAAACTCCATTTCAATCAAATTCAACTCTCTTTCTCGTCAGTACCAAAGAGCTTCATTCTCGACAAAGGCGTCTGCAGATAACCTTCCACTTCAAATTTCCTAGGAGATAGCTCGCGATATTTTGCGAATTGCTCTCTAGCCTCTTTATTCCTATCAAGTAAACTGTAAATCATCCCTTTACAAAAGTAAGGCCTGAAATCTTTAGGATCCTCTTTTTCAAGCTCATCATAACTCCTCAATGCATCCTCAACATTCTTCTGCAAAAACTGTACTTGTGCCATTATAAACCTAACATCCCTACCTTCCTTAACTTTGTTCTCTTCCTCAGCTATCTTTAATGCTTCCTCTAACCTCTGAATCACTTTCACCCCTTCTCCACTCCTGTCCATCAACAATGCATTCTCAAACAATGCCTCGAACGAGAGTGGATTCTTCGATAAGATCTCTTCAAAAACTTCCCTTGCTTCTTGTACCTTCCCCATTTCGTTTAACAACCTTGCCGTCAGGAACTTCCATTCGGTATTCTCCGGCTGGGCAGAGGATAATTTCTTCAGTATTTTCAGGCTCTCCTCGTCCTCCCCTGCCTCCAGTTTTTCCTGGAGGAGATTTTTCAATGTATCAATGGCTTCAGGACTGGATTCTAAAAACTGGGTCAGTGGAGAATCTTCTTGTTGTTGTTGCTCCTCCTGTTGTTGCTCTTCTAGTACAGCTGTTGGGGTTTCAGCTCTTGCCAATGGCGTTTCTACAGGGAATTTCCCCAAGGCCACTGCGGCAAAAACAGCGGCGACGCTGGCGGTTTTGAGGGTAGAGATTAATGGGTTTGAATTAGCATTGGTGGATGCCTTTAGGATAAATCCTTTGTTGTGGGTCTTAGCAGCAGTTGTTGGGATAGAGAAAATGGAGGGACGGGATGGTAAATTGGGGTTAGCGGTGGAGGGGAAGAAGGATGAGCCAAGAGACAAGGTGGAGTTCATGGTGATGGTGGTGGTTCCGGCGGGGATGAGAAGGTCTCCGGCGGAGTTTTGGGGGTTGGGAGTAGGTTTTAGTGCTGCTGTAGGGTTTAGAGTTTCAAAATTACGAAAAGGATAAAAGAGGTAAGTCGAGTAGGTGAGAGTTCTTGTATTATTCTCGTGAAGGAAATTGACGGGATCAATGTGGAGTCTGATTTTGTCCTCTTTTGCAATTTGAGAAAAAGAGAGCGACTTTGTAGCAATAAGGAATAAAGAGATGAAATGAATTATAGGTGTGTCGCTGTCCCCGGACCAACCTATCCGTCCATAGCGCTGTCAAAATGGACCGGTCCACTCCAGCCTTAACGGATTGGAGAATTTAATAGCCCAGCCCATCGCAACCCTTCATATTCATGGGCATTTGCATTTATACCCGTTTTTTGGGTCACGTTTTAACTTGTATCCGCTTTGCAAAAAAATTGTAAGCGTATCCGCTTTTTCGCGTAACTTCAGCATACGGGGCTGAAGTAGCAAAGGCACTCATACAAAACTTCAGCATTCTAGTAGACGGGCCTGAAGTAGCAAAAATTGTTGAACCAAGTGTGCTGAAATTTTTGTTTGTAATTGTTGAACTTAAACATAGTAGCTGAAGTTTTGTTCTCTATTTGCTGAAGTTTTTGTTTGTAATTGCTGAATTTAAGCATAGTAGCTGAAGTTTTTGTTTGTAATTGCACTAAATAAGCTGAAGTTTTTTTGTCCTGGATTCATTAGTTTTGTCACTAAGCTTTTTCAAAAACTTCAGCAGAAGATGCTGAAGTTATTTAATTCATTTATAAAAACTTCAGCACTTAATAAGCTGAAGTTTTTTTGTCCTGGATTCATTTGTTTTGTCATTAAGCTTTTTCAAAAACTTCAGCAGAAGATGCTGAAGTTATTTAGTTCATTTATAAAAACTTCAGCACTAAATAAGCTGAAGTTTTTTTTGTCCTGGATTTATTAGTTTTGTCATAATGCTTTTTCAAAAACTTCAACAGAAGATGCTGAAGTTATTTAGTTCATTTGTAATATTTCAACACTATATAAGCTGAAGTTTTTAAAAAAGCTTTCTAACATACTAGATAAATAATCAGATTGCCAACAGTATCTAAATAATAAATTTTGGAAACAATAAATGTGAAAAGAACAGAATTATCATAAAAAGAATCACTAAGCGTGACCTTAAACTTCCCGTACGTGGAAATATTCACAAATTATTATCTACTAACTTACGTAATTATTTTAATTTGTTTTTAAATAATCTGATAAACATACTTATGGCAATCATCCTATGAACTAATGTTTCATACTAGCACCAACAACAGTAGAAGAAAGAAGAAGAAGAAAACGAAGGAGGAGAAGGGGGAGAAATGGGACTGAAGTTGTTTAAAAAGTGGGTACAAGTTAAAACTTTTAAAAAAATATGAGTATAGGTTAAATGGGGGCGACCAAATGGGGCGCCCCATGCAATTTTTACTCATACTCAAGAGCCTACAAAATGCTAATCCAATCCAACCTTAAGCTACGATTTGCATTAGGTGGAGCCTATTTAAGTAAAAATTAGCTACGGTGGCCAGTTTTTGAAACGACAATTAGAGTTTAGCCAGTATTTAAAATGTAATGGGAAAATAACTACACTTTACTGCGGAAAAAATATTTTGAATAAAAATACCCTACTAAAAACAGGAAAAACTCCAGCATGTATGATGGAGTTCCAAACTTTTACAAGTAAAACTCCAGTTGGCTATCCTGGAGTTCATAAATCCCCATATAGGTGAAATCTTAGAACACGGTTCTGGAGTTGAAAATATTATAAGACAAAATATTAGCATATTATGCTGAAATTCTAGCTTTCAATATGAAATCTTAGTTCTAGCGAGGAAGTTGGCAACGCAATAATTCAATTTTAATTTAGTTTGAGCACACTGTTTACCCTAAAATTTGGATAACAATTTAAACTTATAATGTGGTTTTAAGGATATGTGATTTCACCTAATACGAATTGATAGACGTAAAGATAAATGATGCAAATTGACAATAATGCAAAGCAAACCAGTGTTTGGTCAATGCCCTCGAGCTAATGAACCCTCGAGCTTAGTAAAGTAAGAACAGTTAAAGAGCAGCAAATTGATGAGCAAAGAGAGGAATATTATATTGCTTTGATATTCGTGAATGTAAGATAGATTACAAATGATGGGGACTCCTCTTTATATACTAGAGGAATCCTAATTATGGTACAATTCTAATTACGGAAGTAAATCCCATGATTGGTACAAATAATCGCCCTTGATTCGATCTGTTCCGGATTTTTTGCCGTGATTTTGATTGGTTACGGATATCTCGCATTTTTGTTATTTCACTTCACTCGAAGTCGGTCATACTTAGCCTCGATTCCTGCTGGCCTCGGTCTCGACGGACATCTCGATCCTTGAACTTGACACCTCGTCTTCGTGTTATAGCCCGATCATTGCGAGGCTGACCCTCGATGTGATCTCCTGGTCTCGATTAAATAGCAAAATCCCGGTTTTGATCGTATACAGATAGTCCCCTCGTTTCTTGGAGTGTAATGAGAAGAAACAAACTGAGCCTTCGATTTTGTACCTCGACGAATTATGACATCATCCTCGTGACGTAAGCGACGGAGGCGACTGAAGTGTCGCGTCTGCTCTGTTCTCAAGATCATTAATTAGTGCCAGTTGATGGCCGGCCACTAATGCCTTTGAACCGTCATACCAAATATTATAAATAGGTCATCTTCATAATTTTCTCAAATTTTATTTTCAAAACTTTTCTTAATCTTCAAAGCTCTCTTACTTTATTCAAGTTACTCAATTCTGCAAATTATTTACATCTAGTTTGTCAATCCTCTCTTAAAACAACAAACTTCATCTTCTTCATTTTTCTGAACTCACATAGAAATGGCGAAAACATCTAAAACCGTTCCCTAAAAAGAAAAAGCCTCTTCATCACGGCTGGCCGGCCATAAAACGCTGGTGGAGCCACGTATCGAGGAGTGTGTTCCGGGGTCGTGTGATCTTACCTCCGACTTCAACGTCGAGAAACCTTCTTCGGTCCCCAGTCGATGTGATCCCATGTCAAGATATATATGTTCGATAACAGAAGGCGAACATGAGCAGGTGAAAAAAGATTGCCACTGGGAAAACAAAGAGGTGGTGATTCCTACCCCTGAGGAGGACATCACCACTTACGTAGATGGGTTCTTAAGTGTTTACACTTACCCCTTTATGCTGGGTCCCGTTGATCTGGTATCCTTGACTTCTGCCGCCAATACCGAATAACTCTTCGCCAGATACACCCTTTTTTTTGGCGCATTGTTATCTTTCTTCGAATCTTCGTGAGCAAGGTCGAAGGGATTACATTTACCCTCAGCCACCTCATTAGACTGTATTGCCCCCGTCGGTGGGTTAATAAGGCTCCAGCGCCGGCCACGAAGGTGTTGTTCTCGAGTATAGATGAGGACAAGGATCGAGGATGGATGGGTCGGTTTGTCCGAGTGAGGACCTCCGATATAATCCCGACCGAGAAGATGCCATTCCTCGAGGAATGGAACATGAAGCGTAAGTACAAACCCATCAACATCTTATGTTGATTGCTTTGTTTCTTTTATCTTCCCTCACCCACATCTTTTCTAATAATGTAGCAGTTTTTTGGTTGCCCAGTGCGATCCCGAACCTCAAAAGTTGGGCTCGGAAGCTGGCTTCCACTTCTACATATGTTGAGCGCTCGTGGCGCGATTTAGCAAGGGGTCGATGAGAGGCCTAAGAATCATGGTAAACTTATCTTATATGCTTTTGATGCTCTTCTCTGAAATGTTTCTTTTCATTTGTACTTGATTTACTTTTATACAGGTCTTGGGGACTGCCAAAATAAGGTCGCCCCCACCTAGGGAAGAGGACGCCCCAAAACCGTCTAAGGATAAGAAGAGGACAAAGGTCTCGCTTCCGATACTCCATAGCCTAAGAAGAGCAAGGCTCGTAAGTCGAAGAATGACTCTGCCACTCTGCTTGCCGATGTAGCCCAAAAACTACGAGATGAAGAAGAAGAGAAAGAATATACTTATTATGAGTTGGTAGCTCGAAAGAGGGGGAGCGCCGAAGCTTCGAAGGTAGCTGAGCCGGTGATGGTGAGGAGGCTGATTATTGGACTGAGGAGATCCCGAAAGATGGTCCGAGCAAAGTCCCCGAGTCATCGGAGGCTGAAGATGTCTCCCGCCATGATGAACAATCGGCGAGTGTGCCTATCCACCGTGACGAACAATCGGCAGGTGTGCCTGAAGGGCCCGGTTCTGAGGCCCTCCGAGAAGGAGAGAGCGCCCCAAGTGTCTTGATTGGGGCAATCAACATTGATGATTCGCCTCCTTTCCCCACATTTTCTGTGGGGCAAATTTGGGAGGCCTAGGATATGGAGACCCCCGATGTGGGAATGACCCACGAAAGGGATGACTTATTCTGTGGCTGCTTCACGGGGGTCGATGATGTTTCCGATCTGGATGGATCGATTATTTTTGATAAGGCTCAGCGACTCCTGAATCAGGTTGATTTCAGCCTCCGTTATTAGTTTTATGTTTGCCTTTATTCCTTTTGCCTGATTTCTTTCTTTTCTTCATAGGTCATGACGCTTTATTGGGAAGCGTTTTCCAAATCCCGAACCGAGCTGCACCGATGTGAGGCCGATCTCAAAAGGCTCATGGCGGAGAGAGATGCCCTCAAACTCTTCAGCGGGCAAAAGAAGAGGAGATCAAGGAAATCCGAGCTGAACTGGCCAAAGCTCACAAAGAGCAGACTGACTTGATCGAGTAGGTAATGAAGAATTTTCTTAGAAGTTGGGTGTGTCTATTCGGGGATGGAGACTAACACTTTGATCCTACAGGTTCAGCAGAAGGCCGAAAAGATCGAGCAGCTTCGCTATGAGGCTAAGATGAGAGAAGCAGAGACTTTGGGGTGGAAGCAGAACATGGACCGCCTCGCCTCGGAGAAAGATACTGCTCGAGCCAAGCTATCTTCGGCTGAGCGTCAACTCCAAAGCGTGAAGGAAGAGAGCTTGGTCCGAGCCATGAAAATTGAGGAGCTCAAGACTCGGTTGGCCGCTGAGCTTGCAAAGGAAACATCTAAAGCAGAAGAGTAAAGGCCGACACGGATGCGGTCATGGCCATCTACCGAGCTGATGCTGAAGCCGCTAACACTCGAGCAAAGGAAATTTATAATGCTGCTCA